ATGAAGCAGCGGAGCCGGCGCTGCCGCAGGAACCGCGACACGAGAGCAGGGCGAGCCCCTCGTCATCAATCTGTGTCCCTATTCTTCAAAAAAATCACAAAAGTGCCAGCACCTGGTACACCAGTAATGCCTGAATTCTCTTGAAGAGGTCTCTAGATTCAAAACACTCCTCTGAAAACACAGCAAAGGATGCCCAGATACAGAGCTGGCCTAGGAAACTGTCATGAGGGAGAAATCTAGAGTTTCTTGTAGAACTTGAAGGTGGTGGCTTTGTAAGACAAACCTCTTTAAAAACTTCTGTAGGAATTAACACGTTTCTAATTCATAGAATTTTCACAGAATTAATTTAATATGCCAGAAAAAAAGTCTGGAGAAGTTCCTAAAAGCTGTACACATAAAAGCGCCCTCCTCCAGCTGTAAAAAAGAGAGCATAGTGCAGGTCTGACATGGACATTTCTCTAAGCAGCTCATCAGAGACAGAATTCAAGAGGAAAGGTGACCTTCACAAGTGACTAACAAAGCTCAAGTGTTAAGCTCAGCCACTGAAGATTATTAAAATGTCCTTTTCTCTTCTCATCTCCCCTCAAAGGCAGAAATGAAGTAAAACATACAGACATTATCTGTTCTGGGATCTCACGTCCGGATGGACGGTACAGTCAGGCAGCTGCCTGGGAAAATTTAAATGGAAAGAGGGAGAGAAGGTGACTCAGCACTTTGCATTCAACATCTACCCTGCTCCAGTGATTTATTCTGTTGCTACCACTCCATGGCAGAGAGGTTATCGGAGATGTAAACACTTCTATATTTAAATATACTTTATTCATCTGAGGGTCTATGTTTTTTAGCACGTGCAGGTATTTGAGTTAACCACAATATCCACATCCCATGAAAAGCAAATACCCCAACAGCCACCCAAAAACAAAAGAGCCTCCTGTAGTTAATAAAAATGATCTAAAGACACTTTGGAGTACTCCGCCAGAGAAGAAAATGCTGTACAGATGTCCTGCAGATGTTGGACAAAGAACTCAAGGTATATGCAAAACAATTAGATGAGCTTTTAAATATTATTTACGTTTTGTGTACCTACATGCCCACTGGACGGCCTCAGGATTTGTTCCTCTTTAGATGGCAAAGCTGCATGGCAATTTTCTATTGCCATTACCTGAACCCTCGGCAAACACAGAGGAGCTGCAGCTGCCCTGGGGGGGGCCCTGCCTGCGCAGAGCCATACCTGCGCTGTCCTCGAGTCTGTCACTTCTTTGTACAGACTGATGTCCAAATAATAGCCGGACTCATTGGTCAAGAAGAGGCGAATGGGAATGGCCTTCCCGGTGGGCGTCAGGCGGATATTGATTTTCAGCTCAGCTTGGAGCACACGGAGTTTCCAGAGGCGGCTGCCGTAGCGCATCACCATGCTCCGCACGGACTCTTCAATCTGAAACACACGGAAAGGAACGTCCTCACCCCGTGCCTGGACACGGTGCTGCCCACCCCGCTACGCAGGGGCAAGAGGCACCAACGAGCCCCAAACCAGGGGGCTGCCGGACACAACCGAGACCATCTCTGCACCCCGCTACAGCCCCACCGATTGCCAAGGACCCCCCTTCCTTCCTTCCCTTCCTGCAAGGACGGCTCACAGCCGAGCATCACAAAATGCAGGAAAGAGAAATCCTCGGCAAACAGTTATGTAGCGCTTGTAATCATCGTGTTTCACTGCGCACACACGACAGGGCTCTAAATCACCAAAGCAATTACTGCTTGGAGCTTGGGCCGCTACTGTTCTATTAAACTTATAATATACTCCTGTCGGCAAATAGTGCATATGAAAAAAGGCAATTTGGAGGCTATTTTTAATGCTCTTGAATATATATATATATGTACATATATACGTATGTATATCCCTGAACAGCTCTGAAAAAAAGTCCGGTCTGAAGGACGCTTGGTTTCCAGGGGCTGCATATCCCAGCTTCTGCAGAAGTTGTTGGGAACTAGAGATTTTGGATGCACTGAGAAAGGATTTTTAAACTACCAATTTTTAATCATGATTTTAAAAGTCAGCAAGCGGGAGACACTTATTTTGATAACCAATTCATCTGTTTAAACTTTCAGTTATTTTCATCAAGAAAGGTCGGCTCTCCTCTTTTGGTAACCGTGAACAGAATATTGATTTCCAAGTAAATACAGCCATTAGGGTTTATTTGGGACTTTCCTTGTGCTTCCCGTGCTAACCAGAAACATGCTCTATGCCCAAGAACTTCCACTTAAGCATTGACAAAGGTAACTGCTCAGTTATTTACAGTGCTGATCTCTGAGCTTTTAGATCAGAGAATGAATGAGGCTTTTCTCTTTTACTAGTTGATTTTGCAAATTCATTTTAAGTTTTGTGTCACATTGTATTTGGATAATATTTGGACTTCTATAGCACCCTTCCCATATTTTAAGCTATTTCCTTATTAAAAATATTTATCTTAAATATGCTGTGAAAGAATAAGTTTAAAATATGAAACATGTTTTGATAAAGCATCCATTCGTTTCAATACAGGAAGTGAAACACATTGCTTGAAGGACAGAGCTATTCTGATAAAAATGTATGAGCCCTGCTAATTCTGAAATCTTACACTGAACACTTACACACAGATTGGAAGAAGAAATAAAGGTTTCTTGTTTCTTCGATTCCCAAAAGGGCTTCTAGTGTGAAATAAGTTGACTATTTATCTTACTTAGCTAAAATACAAACTACTCTTTCTGCTTTTGGAGAGAAATTGCTTGTCGGTTCAACAACCAGGCACTGCGATCTTCAGCCAGAGCCTTCCACTAGTTATGCAATTCCTTTATCTTTATGTTTTCAGCAGAAAAATATGACATTCACATATTCTTAAACCTAACTTCAATCACTTACACACTGCAGTAAATATGTAAGTGCCACAGATTACAAAAATTCTGAATCAGAAAAACACATTTTCAACTTCACGGAGTTTAATTTCTATTTCATATTTTTATAAGATATCTAATTTTATCCATCACATTTAAAAAGAAAAGAAAAAGGGGGGGGAAAATCCTTTTTTTTCCCCTTCCCTAGCAAAACATAGGTTAACCCATGGCATTATTCTTTTTTTTTTTTTTTCCTGGTAATAACATTCACTACTAGCATTTTCAAGAGACAAAGGCATATTCCACATGACTTATACTGACAACCAGAAACCCAAATCCAACAAAATTCACTAAGCAAACAGTGATGAATCTCTCAGGACCCACCTGTTTTTTCTACTAAAAAAAAAAAAAAAAAAAGGTTAGAATAACTAACCTTACTATCATGCTATCCCTTCTCATAGTGGTCACTGATTGCCTGTGCTTTCTGCTATAAAATGGGTAGTTGAAACTGTGTATCATTCACTGAGCGGCATTAAAATGCACCCAGGCAATAGGTGTGCTTCAATAGCATAAGAAAATAACAGACGACAACTCCACTCTGGAAAGCAAAGCTCCGGAATAACAAGCAGTTCTGGGCTGGGGAACAGAGCCTACCTTAGACGGGTCCATGATGACAGTAGGCACAAAGTTTAAGAAGATGTGATTGCAGTCGGTGCGCACGTTGGTGTTATTAAAAGCCACCTCCAATTCATCCATGGCTTCCAGAAGCAATCGCTCTCCCTCATTTTGCAGGTACTCAAAGGAGGCTTCCTGCCAGAGATTGTCAACAAACAATTTACTTTCTATCAAAAAACACAACCCAAGAATACAGTGTTTGAAGAACCGCAGGAGGACTCCATTAAGAAAATAGGTTACGTTAGTCTCGGGCCGCTCTGCGGCTGCATCCCGGTCACAGCGCTCGCGCTGCTGCTGCCCGCACCCGCGGGCCTGCCCGACTTGGGCCCTCGTTCATGTCAGCAGATACTCGTGGGCCAGAGCCCTCCTCGGAGCACAGGGACCCCCGGCCGCAGGAGGGGTGCGCCAGGAAGCAGGACAAGCCCCTGCACCCCGTTTTCCCCGCGCGCACGTCGGCGTGCGGCTCCTCGGAACGACTCGTGGCGCTTCCCAGCTCTCCCGGGAGCAGAGCTCACCAGGATGACAAAGCTCACCTTGGTCACCAGGTCCGAGTGCCTTATGATGGCCCTCACGAAGAACCTGTAGTCCGTCACTTCTGTCCCCACCTCGACCTTGGCGGCTCCCAGGTAGAGGTGCATTTTGTGATTGGCACACGGAATGGCAGTGAGATCAAAGTTCCGCATCCGGTTCAATTCCAGCTGGAAAGCCAGAGCTGGCTCCAGGTGACGGTAGATCCTATCTTCCTCGAACTGGAAACACCCAGCACAGGACAAGGAGAAAAGAGTGAAAAACACGAAGATGCTTAGGAAGCTGGAACACAGAAGATGGGGAGAACTACACAACGGTCACTATGAATCTCACATACAACTAAAATGCTAAAAAATCAATCTGCCTCAGAATTTTCTTTTTGATCAGACCCCCATGCTTCACTCCATCTAAAATCTGCAAAATCAGAAGCTTCAAGTTAGGCTCCCCATGGCACAGTGTTTAACCCAGGATTATTAAAGACCCGTTGCTCCAACCAGCACCAACTGAGCGTGGGGTGGGCAGAGGAGAACGCTCCGCTGGGCTGGGCAGTGTTTCAGCAGCTCCCTCCCTCTCAGAGTAGCACAGAACGACTATGGGAAGGAAGGGTAAAGCCCGACATTTAGAGAATGCTCCTAAGAACATATAATTTACCTTATCCCTGGCACGGAACGTGAAAAATTTTGGAAATTCCCTCTGAAAATAAAAACAAAAGTGTTAGTCCTCCAAAAGCGAACCGTGTCACCTCCCCAGAGTACCACAGGCCACCCCTGGAGCTGCTGTCACAAATTTACCAAGTTCGGTGGCACATCAACTGACCCTCAACAAGGCAGCAGGGGTAGTTTGAACCTGTCCCCCCTGTTAACACAGTAGCTGCCACTTGTTTGGCTTTTGGTTATTATTGTCTATTAGCAACAGACAGCAGGATTGAATTGGCCCTACGTGGCAGTGGGAAACCTCTCCTACTTCTACTATTATGATGATTATTGTGGAAATGTTTAGGAGCCTTACAGGGAGATTAACGCCCCATTATGCAAGGTGAGGTACACAAACTGTTACATATTCTAGAGCTCTCTTCATACTGTTACTGCTAGAAATATTTTCTGCACAAGGAAAACAATGAGTTCTAATAAGAAACTTTATTCTTGAGTATGAAATAGCACTCTACAAAACCTACAAAGTGTTTACTAAGGTGGAGGAACCTTCGTGGAAGCTCTGTACAAATGCGACCACACTGGCTGTTTCTGCAGCAACACACAACTGGCCAGAATCATTTTATTAAGAAAAAGGATACACCTGACCTGGTGTCATTGAATTTCTGAATGAGTGACACTCACATTTTCAGTTTCAATGAAAAATGGGCAGCCCTAGCTTGATTTACTGCAACAACCACTGCATGACAGCAAAGTACAAGGCTCCACTAAGCAATACAACTTTTAAGTGTCTTCTCTATCTCCTTAGAGGAAAAAACCCAGAATTTCATCTAAGACCCTCTGTCAAACAAAGGAACCTGTGTTAGACTGGAGTACAACTTCCAACTAGCCACTGCTGCAGGAAAATCTGGGGGGTTTTGAGTGAGCCCATGAGTACCAACAATGTGTTAAGACAATAACCGCCCAGAAGACACTTCCATGTTCCCTCACTTTTCTTCCAAACCCCTCCTCTACCTGTCCTCCTCTGCCCACTGCCAATTTCTAGCATCATCCACGCTCATTCTATCACTAACGTAATCGCTTTCAAAGCATCTGACTGGTGTTGTGGGCAGATATAATAATTAGATGTGCACATACACAAAAATTCTCAGTGCTCTGGTACCAAAATCCAAAAGAGTGCTCCATTTCCTAGGCAGAAGAATTATACCCCTGCTGCGTTCTAATCAACCAACCATCATCAAGACAATCAAAATAATTTGCCTAAATTAGCCAATCAAGACACCCTGCAAATCGCAGAATGTGAAAAGCTACAACAGAAATCATAGTTGATTATTATACTAATAATCACGTTAAAAACCTAATGAGATGAGGAAATTGGAAGCTTGCTGGAGCAACTCTCTATTACCTCAACATGCTGGGAACTAATTATATAGACTGTAATTAAAACAAAAACAAACCCAAGCCTAGGCCCTGGCTAAGTTAATAGTTGGTCCGATAATAAACAGAAGAGAATAGGAGACAGTAATAAGGACTGACACCCACAGCAGATCCCTGAGGCATCCTACCAACTTCCACACCATGGACAGACCCGCTGCGTCCTCTGGCTTAGGGACAGCAACGTCTCAACAACGGGTGAAGGAAAGGGCTGCTCAGGGCAAACACGAGCCCAACTTGTGGGGAGCCCAGCTGTGTAATTGCATTCTAGAATACAGAACCAATATCCAAACAATCACGATATTTATCACTGTACCAGCCACGAAGTCAGCCTGGTAACCAGGCACCGAATGCGCCAGGCCCAGTCTTGCACTTAAAGCTAAATGTTTGTCTGAATTCTTCTCCTGACCCCAACACCAGCGTTGCATTAAACACCTCATGCAGGAGCAAGTGTTGTCGAGCTTAGTTAGGAGAAGCCTAGAGTCACTTATATGTCTCCCAGGCTTGGGGCAAGAGCATCACAGTCCTAGAACCTTTTTACTTACATGAAATCTCTGATCGACCTCACAGTTGACCTGTTTCCTGAAGTCCTTACAAAGGCAACACACAAACACGGGGTGGGGAGGAGAGAAAAGCAGAAGAAAGCTAGCAATTAGGATGAAAATCAAAATGAATTAATTCAGGAATACAAGAGGTGTCAAGATTGTTTACATTTCTAATTAATTTTCTTATGCAAATCCATTAAAACAATTTCAAGTTTTAGCAAACAAAGGCAGCAAGAAAAAGACTAAATATAGTTAATACAGTATTTAACTTGGCAAAAAGTACCAAAATGTCAATGCTATTTTGAGTTACAAACCAAACAGTTCTAAGCAGTACGAGAGAGAACAAAATACCTTTTGTGCTACAAGAAAAGTCAGCCGCCGAATCCCATGTTCAATCAGGACCGATTTCTGTAAAAACAAGAGGGTGCAATCAAGATACTGGGATTAACAGAAAGGGAACATATCAAAAGCAGATGCAAAGCTGCTATGATCCAAAAAAGTTCCTCCTGCATCTACACTGCAAGGTCCCAGGCCACGTCAGTCCACCTGGAGCTGAGATCTCTCTGCTGTCTGCCCAGGAGCATAAGCAAATACAGCAAATCTGAAGAGAGAAGTATCAAATCACAAGGACAAAGGACTGCAGTTGAGCCACACCAACAAGAAAAGCAGAAGAGTTGCCCCGAGGTCCTGCAGAACAACTTCTTGTTCAGTCGCCCCAGGAAGTTGTTTGGGTTTTTTTGCTGTTGTTCTTGTTGCAAAGTTACTGTCAGGAGAGAGGGCAGGACAGGCACGGCGAGCACACGGCACCGGCCCTTGGAAAGGATCTGACGTGGGGCAGCAGGAGCACATCCCGGATTCGGGCACGCAAAACAAAGGACAGATGTGTCAATACTGCAAAGGTGAAAAATAGCAGCTCTTATTTTGTTGTTCAAACTAATCAGAGTGTGTCCATTCTGGTTGCTTTTTTAAAAATCAAATTCAATGAAGCCACATTAAAAATGAGTGCTTCCATCTTTGTCATGTGTTTGTGCTTCTGAAAAGTATTAAAATCCGGTAATTTTTCTCTTCTTTCTAAAACTTCTTTCTCTCCCCTCCTTTTTCCAATCTAAAAAGGAGACACGCGCACACGGAGAATGGAACAGAAACAAGAACCTCAGCTAGACTGGGAACAAAACCACTCCTTTAGGCTTGGACTGAAATGTTTTACTGAGGTTAAGCCCTTTGAAAATAAGCATCAGTGACTATATTCATGGCAAGAGGAAGAAAATAACTTTAATAATGCCATGATTTAAAAAGCAAAAATTGTTATTGCTTTTAAAATTCCACAAGTGGCAGACAATAACAGCATAGCAACAGGATTCTGATTACATCGTAATAATGTGGGTCTCACAGCAAGTCCACAGCTATTACAGAGCGATTAGCCATCAGCACCTGGAGAAACTCCATTTACACTGACTGCCTCAATCTCCTCCACAAGTCATTTACAAGTATATGATCCTAATTTCTATTAAAAAAAACACACACAACATGCTGGGACAAGAAGATTATTTGGACAATTTGGATCAACCTATTTGATAGTTTAATGTGTTTTGGGTTTTTTTTTCTATTTCTTTCCTTTTTTCCCTTCCCATAAAACGCCTGGAGCATGATCAAGCAGATGAAAAGCAAGCTAGTTTTAATTTTTATATTTGATTATTTTCTTTGCTTAAAGAGGCAGGAAGCTGCTGGAGCAGAGTGGATAGCAGGCCCATTTCGGGCCCCCTCGTTCCTGGGAATGCGTTACCACCTCCCGCACCGGGAGGCCGAGGTCCTTCCATAATCCCTGCGGATGCTGCCGGCTCTCCGCAGCGGCCACAGCAGCAAAGGCCGCCCCGGCGCCTCCTTCCTCCCCGGGACTCGCATTTGGTGCCTTAAGGTGAATCCCTTATTTATGAAGGGGCAACAAATGCACAAATCTGTTCCACCTTCGACCACAAACATCACACTAGATGGATGTTCCAACATGCCAGTAAAAAGTGACCCAAGTTGAATTGCAATAAGACCACTGTGATACAGGACATTTTAGTGTCACTTTGCAAGCCTCTTACTTATATAAGAGGGATAATTTAGTAACTCTCTTCACATGACTACTAGGAAGAGGGACACATTCCTTCAGAGCAGCTGGGGATAGAGTGAAGATCCACCTGACATTTAGAACTTTCCCTCACAACATCCTCCTGGGCAAGCTCCGAAGTGTGGGAGAGATGAGTGCACAGGGAGGTGGATTAGGACCTGGCTGGATGGCAGAGCTCAGAGGGAGGTGATCAGTGGTGCAGTCTGGTTGGAGGCCTGTAGCTAGCGGGGTCCCCCAGGGGTCAGTCCTCGGTCCAGTCCTGTTCAATTTATTCATCAATTTCTTGACCGTGAGGGTACCAGAGCACTGGAACAGGCTGCCCAGAGAGGTTGTGGAGTCTCCTTCTCTGGAGATCTTCAAACCCGCTTGGACGCAGTCCTGTGCCACGTGCTCTAGGTGACCCTGCATGTGCAGGGGGGTTGGACCAGATGACCTCTGGAGGTCCCTTCCAACCTTGAGCATTCTGTGATTCTTAAGGGTCCTCTACCCTATCAAAAATTAAAGAGTCTTGAGCTGCTGGATTAGAATGTCCCATTAGGTACTGCAGAGAGAAAGGATGAGAGCTTGCTGTTATTCACTGCCTACCCCGGAGGCTTCGGGAAGGCACAGTTCCATACAAGCAGAGAAGTGATAAGGTTTTAGATGGAATAAATTAAGGATGTAAGTTTGTTTACTTATTTGGGGAAAAAAATATGTCTGAGAAACACACAGACTTTTCCCAAATCATCCTGAACTGCCTGGGAAATCCCGCAGCTCCAGAGGAGCCAAAGGACCCACCTTGCTCTGCGTGAACTCCCGGAACATGGCGGCCAGGCCGTCGTCGTCGACGTCGCCGTCCGTCTTGATGGCAACGTTGAGGATGTGGATGGGCTCCTCGCGGGCGGCCTGCCAGTCAGAGAAGACATTGCCCATGAACAACGTGGTGACAACATAACACCTGGGGATTCTCAAGGGGCCCCCTAAGCACTAAACACAGGTCCCCTAGGAAAGAAATGACCTCAGTGGCACCTGCTGGAAATAAAGCAAAATTTTGAAAGAAATCCTTGACCGACCACCTTCACACAGCCTCTGCAGAGAGAAGGCATAAACCCCAAACTGCTGTGAATCCAGGCATTCTACTGACATTAAAAATTACAATACAAACTTACAGGGAAAGCAGAGGACCTAGTCATGGTTTTTGAATAATGAAATAACCAGCTACTTTGAGTCACCTGCTGCAGAACAAACAAATCATATAAATATATAAAGCTCTCAACTCCTGCTTCCAGCACTCGAATCAGTAAAAAGTACCTAGCCTGCAGCCACTGTGGCATTTGCATGTCTTCAATCTTCTCCCTGAGAGCAACCTCAAGAGAAGAAATTACTGTACCTTGTCCTCATCATACAAGGAAGCATGACCAGCTTCAGGGAAGGTTGGGCTCTGTGGAGGAGAGTCACAGAAGCAGCTCATCACTTCATCAAAGATCCTGAAACACATTAGAAGAGCAGGAGTCAGAAACATGCTGCTGCCAACCCAAGAGCCAGCAGCACCAAAATCCATCTCGCTAATCAGGTGGGGGAAGAACACAGGACTCTCTGTCTTTGCAGGACTGTATTTCAAAAGACAGCAAGGCAGAATCCCGCCACGCTCCCACCCCGAGCGGAACCTGGATCTTCCAGCAAAATGCAGACACCTTACAGCAACAGGCCCTCATGACTGCTGTGGGCTCTGCTGCCTTTTGCCTCTATCTATATGGTTGCTAGCATAAAGAACACCCCTTTCCATGTACTTATGCACACACAAGAATGTTAGAAAGAGTCAGCACATTTGCAAATCATCTCAAAAGCAGCAGAAATTCAAGATGCTGATCCTTCCTGCTGCAAACAAACTGCTCTTACTTCCGCTTACAGGAGAGGTTGAAAACAACCGTCGCCCAGGACCACTTTAAACCTGACTCCAGACAAAGGCCAAGGGTTTGTCCAGCTCCATTTGGGCCCCCTTAGGAAGACGCCACACGAATGGCAGAGACGCCGCTCCGCACACACCTGACGAACTCCTCGAAGGTGCGGAAGGAGACCATCCCGCCCATGCGCTGGCACGGCGGCGTGAACGAGTTGTCCAGCAGCACGTCGCTCACGCTGGCCACGTGCACCATCCCGTAGTGATTGAGGTTGGAAGAGAAGGACATTCTAAATGGCAATTCAATAAGATCACAGTTAGTAAAGACAAGGGAGGAAACGTAAAATCACTGGAAAAAAAGATATGTGCGTGCATGTACGACCACTCGAAGCGTGGCTGTTCATCCACTGTTACTGTTGCATGATCTATTAGACTCTTCAGCAGGCCATGCTGCTGCTGTGCTGCCTTCTCCAAAGTCACGGCAGTGCTGGCACGTGTGTCAGATACCATTAATATCCTTACCTGGACGTCCTCCCAACATTCAGGAACAGTCACAGGGTTAGAAGAAGTTGCTATCTTTTAAAAATATTTATTCACATAGTCTGCTGAGATGCCAGGCAGATTATGACTATGCACAACTGAAAGCTGGACGTGTATCTCGCTTTACAGATAAGGTCTGAGATACACAATTGTACTAAATTTCTGCACTTCAAGATTTGCTTAAACTCTTCAAATTAAGTTAAAGTGCAGTGGGCCATATTCTCTTACTGCTTAAGGCTCAAGGAAACGGAGCAGAGCTGCAGAGCCGCTGTTCTCCAGGTGACACCTCTTCCTGGGGCTACAACCCCAGGATCCCCTCTCTGCCTGCTGCAGAAACAGGGTGATACAGCGCAGCAAACAAATCGCTCATATGGGACCAGCTCCTTCGCTGAGAGGAGGGCTGAGGCAGATCTGAGCAGCCAGAGGGAGGGACAAGGTCTGATCTCTACCTAAATAAGGAGCACGTTCACATTAGAGGTCAGCTTTCCTTCCTGGGAGCGGGCAAGATCCTGAAGTATCCCAACTTCCGACACACTTCAACTGCCCTGGCAGCACAAACTGACTGAACTGCTGCTGCTGCTGGGGGTGTGCGGGGGTGGATGTTCTGTGCAGACCCACGGGCGGAGGAAGCTTCTCTGGCACTGCACGAGGAGCAGCTGCAGCTCCCTGGGCACCCCTGCCCCAGCTACCAGGGCTGGGGAACAAGTCCAGAGCTACAGACTCGTCCTACTTCAAAAGCTCCCTGCAACACAGGGACACTTTGAAGCTTCCTCCTAAGGACAGCGATGCAGGAAGCTTCACCCGTGTCATTCCCAAGGGGCTTAGGGAGACACCGGCAAAATTTCCATCCTCCCCAGCTGGTAGCACAGCAGGACAAGGGGAAGACCCAGGGCACGGATTCAGCAGTGCCCATGCTCAACCTGCACCTTGCAAAGTCAAGCAGGTGCCGACTGCTCTGCAGGTCCCAGGGGAGAGGCAGGGAACGGGGGTCCCGGCAGCGCCCAGGACCGGCATCGCTGACGCTGCTTCCTACCGGCATCGTGGAGATCTCCTCCTCCTCACAAACAGAAAACCCACCTGATATGGTCTTAAGTATACTGCTAACAAGTCTAAAGTATCATCAGTTTGATTAATAGCTCTCTTCATGTTCGAAATCACTCTGGGTTTCTGCAATTTATCTCTGATTAAGAGCCATGAGACTTTCAAGACCATTTTTACTATTTTTCCCTACGTAGCTTTGTAGCAGTAATAAATAATAGGTATTCACATTTTGAATGAGTAAAAATTTTCAGGACATGCCTTGGTGTACATTTCTTACAACTAATACAAAAATACCACAGAACAGTAACTAAACAAAAAGACAGCAGACATTTTTCATGTATTATTTAAAACAAGAAATACTTTCGAACGGAGACAAGGGAGGAAAAATTAGCATCTGAAACACAACAAAACATGCTGTCAGCTGTGTGAGACGTGCATTCATCTACGGGGTGAGGAGGTGGGACAGCCTCGGCAAGCGGCGCCCGGGAAGGCGCCGGCCCCGGCGCTGCGATGCCAATCGGGAGGCAGCGGCCGGGAATCGGGATCCAAAAAAGGGGAGCCAGAAGCAGCGTTTTGCTCCAGTTCACTGCACATCACACCGCAGGTGAACTAGGCACCTGGTAAATGGAATTTTGGAGCTTGCTGCATGCAAAGCTGCTTTTAAAGGGTAAAGAAAAGCTGAAAACATGTTTTAGACAAAAGCAGGAAAGGGGGGATGTTATGGTTGAGAGCTTCCCAAGTAAAGGTAAGGGTACTAAAACAAAACATGTTAAAACAGTGAGTATTAGGCTACTTCTTTCTAGTCTTTCTTTTCAAATTTTAAAAGATGACAAGTACCATACCTGTTTAGCGTGGGGATGTTCCCTCTGTAATCAAACAACCACAGTTAGTTACAGATTGGTTAGTGAAAGCCATAATAAAGAACTGTCATCATGCTGATACACAGACCAGCAACAACTTTACAATTTACTGAACAAAGTCTGTTAACCATGGAGAAAGAGGCAGAATTCAATCCCGTGGCCCCTAGGAGGCACCCAGCACCTGCCTTCGCTGGCCGTGGCCGCCGGAGGAGAGCGCGGCCCGTGCACGGAGCATGCAGGGGACGCATGCACACGCTGCAGCGCTGTGCAGCTCCGCTCACACCACCTGTGCAGGCACCAAGCGAGCTTCACCAGCAAGGCCAGGCAGGGAAGTCTGCACCCCTGCCAGAAGGACAAAAACCAGAGCACAGAAGGAAAAAGGGAACACATGACATAGGAAAACTGCACCTGGTCCAGCAAAGGAAACCAAACCCTCAGTGCCAAACTTCTACTTAAAGCAGCAGCTCACACATTGGCACCCAGAGCAGTGCAGAAATAAAGCAAACAAGCACATAAACACCATGTAACACTGCATTTTCAGCATCCAAGACCCTGAGCACCGAGAAGAACAAGCAGAACTGGAGGCTAACTTGGGAAAATGTTACAGTTCCTTTTGTAACATCAATTCTGAACTCTTTGGTTTCGCATGCAGACCAGGGCTCGGGGCACACAGAAGCCAGAGGAGCTTGGGGACATTTCTGCACTAGTGCAGGACCAGGAAGGCCGGCCCACGCTCACTCCGTTCAGTCAAGCATGGGGTACCACATTGTGCCCAAGAGCCGCAGGAATTTCTGCAATGTGGCATTCAAAACAGTGAAGATTACATTGAAACACAGGATACATGCGTACAAGACACTTCTGCAAACACATTAATAAATGAGGAAATAAAACTGAAAGCAAAGCTTTGGGGAGCATGTAAGGAGCCATTCCCTGTCCCCTGCAGGAGGTTGAGCCACAGACTTCAACACCCTTGAGCACATCCTTGAGCCTGCTCCCAGGGCTGCACACTCGGCTCTAGCAGGGGCTGCTCGCACAGGAGGCGCCTGCCCCGCACGAACGAGCTCGCTGCGTTCTTGGTAGGGCATGAAAAGTTCCTGGGATCTCTTCAAGCCACGTGGGAGGAAGCACCAAGCAGGATACGGACGTATCTGCTCAACAGGAAAGACTTAATGTCTTATCTAACGCCAGTGGGAAGAGACTGCAACACCTGCGAGGATGGAAGGGACGCAGGGCTGCAGGGAGCTGACGCATTTTCTTTAGCTTGGCAAATGGTCAGGAGCTGCATGGGAGCCACTTTGGTTCTTCAGAAAACAAGCAAAAAGCCACACAGGCTGGGGAGGCCTGGCTGCTCCTGCACCGGGCTCGCTCGCTCTGCAGTGGCCCCAAAAGGCTTCAGAAAACAGGAGGGACCACAGCACGAGACACCTGTAGCCCGTTCTGCCTCGGAGCAGCTCCCTGTCACCCTGCGCACTCCGGTTGTGCGGAGATGTCACCCGAGGAGCTCGGCCAGGAAGCAGGAGCCCCAGCGCAGGTGGTTGCGGAAGGGCACGCAGCAAGAGCAGCCTGCAGGCCGCGCACGGAGGCGCTGGGCCC